GGTATTCAAGACCAGGCTGGATGAGCCTTGAGCTACCTGATCCAGTGAGGAGGTGTCCCTGCCCAGGGCAGGGAGGGTTGGGACGAGATGATCTGTAAGGTCCATTCCATCCCTTAAGTTCTATGAATGTATGAATTTCACCCCAACATTCTCAAGTCTGTAGAAATAAGTGTGAAGATTAGTCCAATCCGAGCAAAAAAAAGAGCTGATCACCTCTGCTGTTTCTGAAATACTTGAATGTATGTATCCAGTGGCGCATGCATTATTTCTTCACACAGCCTACATATTACTGTTATATCTCTTAATTTAAGAGAAAGGACCTACCTGACAAGTGCATGTTCCATTCCCATTCATACCCTGGGAGCAGCGTCCTCTCCCGTTGCATGGTGAAGCAGCTCCTCCTGGACATACTGGAAATAGCAGTGTTTAAGCCATCAGTCAGTTTGCTCGGACCCTTATGCTCCCCTTGCACATTGTGGGTTACAGCATCAGAACCCGCAGGGTTTCCGACCAGACAGGGACCTTGGGTGACAGCTGCTATTTGGCAGTTGCCAAACAACTGGATGGATGAGGCCTTGTGTGACCTGATCTAGTGAGGAGATGTCTCTGCCCATGGCAGGGGATTGGGACTAGATGATCTGTAAGGTCCATTCCAACCCTTAAATTCTAAGATTCTATGGATGTCTTCACTACAGTCTCAGCTTCAGCAGAGATCATCACCTTCTTTTGTCTGGGAATTTAAACTAGTGACTGTAGTCAAAAGATTGAACAAAGAGTAGTTTTCTTATTCTAAAGTACCACAGGATGTTGTCCCTGCTGCTTCACCTCTATCTGGGACGCTCTTAGCTGTTATAGTACAAGTGGAGTTTGCCTGATCACTGCTGTCTGTTAGTACAACTGTGATGGATTGAAAATTTTCTGTCAGAATTATATTTGATGTTAAGTTAGACATAATAAAATTTCCACTTCCCCTTCACGCCCCCAAAAAATTGCATTTGCTTTATGTGGAAAGTTTTTCCTTTTCCCCTTCTACCTTCATAAGACTGTGATAATTGATTCAAACAATCCTGGAAGTTGGAATTTGGGTATCTCACAACCAAATTCTGTTCAATGGGCTGTGGTTGCTAGTGAAACCTTTGTGCCAATGATGTGTTGTGCCCTTCACATGCTCTGGTGCTAAAGCCATGATTGCAGGCAGTGGTATACCAGGTCGGACAGTCTGACAAAAAAACAGCCAACAGGGCTGGATAAGAATAAAATGAACGTATTTCCAAACAAAAATAGTTTAATTTTTGCCTGAAATGTTTCAATAGTTGCATTTCTAACGTACGATCACCTATAGGAAATATGTATTACAGTGTTTTTTAGTCAGATTGTTCTGTCAGATTTTCCCTCCTGTAATTATCCCTGATTTTCTGTAGTTGTCCACTCCCTCCATAGAAATGATTTATTAACTCTCTTCCATGAGCTCTTCCTTCCTGTAATTAGAATTCCCATTAGGTACCATAATTTTGATGCAGGTGGTGTCTAACTGTATCCAATTCATCTTGGCATCACAGGGACTCAGCTGTACTTTACTGCTGGACTTAATGCTTACCAAGAGCCTCAGAGTTTGTTTTGTGTGGGTAGCAATGGGCAGGAGCAGATTTATGCTCCCAATGATTAACTTAATCCTGACTTAGAGTGTTTAAGTAATGTGGAAGCTTTAATAAAAATGAATTTGATTTGGACAGAGTGAAGAGCAAATAAGTGGATGTACATAAGTGTATACCCAATTTCACTGAAGGCTTTGGCTTTGTACCAATCTGTTAATAGTCCTTAATTTGTTCCTTTGTGCAGTCTGTGAGGTTTGGGGTGAGGTCTTGGATCTGGGTAAGCTTCCTGTGAACAACCAGTACATTTGAAGATGAAAATTTTAGTGCAGCTTATCTCATATATGCTGAAATAATCAGATGTAAAGTTAAAGTAATAAAATACATAAACTTTAAAGCAGCTTTTAGTGGATTTTGTTTTCTGTCTACCACACAATAGCTAAATCTCATCTTTACGACCGATGCGAGTTGTTTAATAGTCACACTGAATGGAAACTGTTTTACCTGCACTGCTGCTTTTATTGATTGTGCAAAAATAGAGAAAATGCAAAGTTAATGGTCTAATTTCTAGGAAAGGGAACTTTAAAACTGTGAACAAACAGGTTTTTGGCAGTTGGCATTCATTACACTTCCCCTTATCTTCACTACATCTTGTCTCTTGTTTGGGTCCCACCACCAAGGGACAGCTTTATCAGAAGTTTAGCAAATGACTATGTTGTTGTACAAGTTCAGTCAGGCAGGTAAAATACTTCCTGGGACACAGGATGCAGTGCTGGGACGCTGCAGCAATGCTGGCACAGCCCTGGTGCTGGGTAGGAGTGAGATCTTTGTTTTCATTGAGGATGTCTTTTGAAAAGCAGGAAGAAAGAGATGCCTTGCTTATCTCTTCCAGCTGTCAGAGTATGAAGGCCAGATCTTTGTATCTAGGCTGAAAGAGCTTAAATCTGTCAGCTTTTGGTTTTCCTCATGGAGTTAAATTCAGCACTTCCCAGGTGTAATCAAATGTAACCTCTTAGAATAGTTCTCTTCCCCTGATTCTCTGAAAGGCTGAAGCAGTGGGTGGAACTTGTGTTTTGGACCATATAATTTGATAGAGTTAAGTTTATTATCTTTCCTCTTGGATATCTTTTTCCTTTTTCTATTTTTCCCTCCTTTATTCTTACAGTACTTCTTGCTCTCTTGGTGATGCCATGCAGCTTTCAGTTGGTATCCAGGCTTTCCTTTGGAGCCATTTGCCCAGAATGGGACCCTGTGCTGGGGTAGGGAGTAGCTCCTGCTGCAGCCCACCAGCTACACACACAGGACATCTGAGGTCCATCAACTGTGGTGTCTATGGCTGGATAATACTGGCAGTGTTAAAGTGCTGTGCTCTTTTCCCCTTACTTTTCCCTTTTGACTTGATGGCCTTTTTTACAGAGGGACAGGGATGTGGTTGGATAGCTCAGGGTGCTTCATGGGGAGAGAAGGGGGCAAAACATCTCTCACACTGTTTCAGCATGTGTTGTCAATTAAGGAAGTCAGGGTGCTATTTAAGAACTAATTTTGTCCTTGCCATCAGATGTTGAATGTGACGTAAACCTCTAGTCAGGGATTTTTCTCTGGCCTCAGGAAGGAATGTCTTTCCTCCAAACATTTTGAGCTCTATTAGAGAGATTGTGATAACACAGACAGCTATTTTGTTCCTCCAAATGACAGCAGGAACAATGCTGAGACCTTGATTCTTTTCTTTTCTTTGGGGTCAGGAAGTTTGTCCAAAGGAAGAAAGGGGTTCCTTGCTTCTGCAGCCTCCTTCACACAGAGGTGCAGGCAGGTCTCTGGCTCAGGCGTAGTCAACTCTGCCCCTGTCCAGAAATACTGATGCCCCTTGTGTGGCTTCCCAGAGCACCCTGAATACGGGATGATGAGCACTTATGCTGCATTTGGTGGTGGGATGGGATATTACCACACAAGTGGTTATGTACAGAGGAAGACATAGCCACACACTATGCACTCAGCTATTTGCCCGTCCTTCCTGTTGAAGTTACTGGAAGTTGGAGTTGGACTGTTTTGATTTAGCAGACAAATGACTTGTATTTAAATAATAGCTTGGGATGAAATGTTATATTTTGAATCCTTTTTGTGGACAAAAGGATTTCACAGACATTAAAACAGACCTTGACCCCATAAACTAAAGGAGGAAACATCTCTGGCTGGGCAGGGAAACTTCCTCTGTGGGTCTTGATGCCCATCCTGGTAGCCTGAGATTTGATGCACTTATGGAGATGCTGAAAGGCTTTTCCTGAGGAAGAGGCAGCAGGAAAGGAGGCACTCCTGATCACCACTGCTTCAATAACGGCCTTCAGCACTTTCTGGCTGTTCAGCAAACTGTTTCAAGTTGGGCTGAAAGAAAGGACCTTCCCTGCATCAGAAAGTAAAGAATTCAAGAGATCTGGAAACATTTCACGTGCAGCTGAGGGTGGTTTGGACCTAAAATGAAATAGGAAGCCTTGCAGTTTGAAAATTTTAATCCTACACAATGCTGAGCACTTAGGCTGCATTTGGTGGTGGGATGGGAAATCACCACACAAGTGGTTTTCTGCACTCAACTATTTGCCTGTCTTTTCTTTTGAATTAGCAAGTACCAATGACTGAAGTGATTTGCTTTGAAAATCTCACAACCAAGGAGGTTCCCTGAATTATTTCTAAATCTTTCTATACATTTTTCTTCTTGAATGAACCTTTGAATGTCTGTTTTTTTAGTCAAATCCTGTAAGTCTTAGCTGAAAACTGCTGTATATTTATCCTTCTACCACAAGCTCTGAGGAGTCAACTTCTCACAGCAATAGTTTCGGAAAAGAAGAAGAGTCACTACTTTATTTCTATTCAAATCACAGTAGAAAAACCCCAGAACAAACCAACCTACCCATGCAGTCTGGGCCCCAGTGTCCCTGGCAGCACTCAGGTTGTTCAAATTCCTTCACACATTGATGCCGACATCCCGGGAAAGAAAGTGTGTGTGTTTTAACTTCCAGATAATACCTGAGGAAAAGAAGTTGGAGCTGCTTTAAAGTACTTAAAAGCCTTAGATGGAGAAAAATGAAATACTCAACTTCCTTCTCTTGTGTCAGTCAAGACCACGCTGAGCTTAGTTGCATTGATCTGCCTTTTTTCTTCTTTAGAACATGCATTGAACATCAAGGTCTAAAAAGACCCTTGGAGCTGTTTCTTTTGCATAGTACATTTATCTTCCCACCTCAACCTAAGCACAGAACTTATCTCCAAGTTTTGAGTTGAAATAGTATTTTAAAAATTATTTGATATCAAGGTTATTTAAATGTTAAGTAAGCTCAAAATAATTAGCTTTTCTCTAAATTACTGGGTTTATTTTCTCTTTTTCTTCAAACCGGCAGGCAAGATTTCAGATGTTTTGAGCTACTTCTTCCTGCCTTTCACCCTCAAACCTCCCCAGTCTATCAGTTTGAAAAATCTGTTATCTATGTGATAATATATGAGAAGAATAATACATAAATATTACATATATTTATCATATGACATTCTTATATCATTCCTATCAGGTATGCAGAATAAATAAGGAAGTGATTCTACGATCTCACTCAAAATCTGCTAGACCATGGATATCAATGTGTATTTTCCTCTGATACCACTTGCTAATTAGGATCAAGTATTCTGAATGAAGCTTGAGTTCTGGAGATGATAAAGCCAATGGCAAATGCTCCTTAAGACTAGAGCATTTGTGGTATGACTTCATGTTTTCTAATCCACAGAGAATAATATTCCTGGAGAAAACTCTGTCAGAGGAGATACCTGCAGTCTGGTATCCCAGTCCCCTTGGTGACTTTGGTGTAGCCAGCAGGACACTGGGTGCCAAGGTTTAAAGAACAAGGTAAACACTCCGTTTTCATTCGAATGAGCAGCTTTTGGGCACATTGCTTCTTCATCTGTAATAAGAGAAGAATCATGAAAAAGAAGGAAAAGCTCTGCCCCCAGTGACATTGCTGAAAAATAACACATTTAACTCA